GTTCATACCAAAGTCCACAGGAATGCTGCCTCCTGAATATACCATCCCTGCCCTAAAGAAGACCCCAAAATTCACTGAATATACCATAGTCTCCAGGATTCAAACACAATCAAAGACCAAGGCTACACAATACTCTGTACCTGCCTGGTCATCTTATGTTCTCTCTTTGCAGTCTTCATCCAGACTCAAATATTCCTCCCCATTTTTTCCCTACTCAGGTTGCTCTCCAGGGAAGGGTGGATGTAAGAGAACAGTAATGCCTCTATCATCAAACCGTCATCATTTACAAGAGCTTTCCAGACTGGTGTATTAGACTCAAAATTATTTTATTTCCTGCCAAATAAATGCTACATAAAAACAAACAGGTTACACCAAAGCTTTCAACTTCACTGAGTTCGCTTAAAATATTCCCCAAATCACTGACTTAAGGGTGCCCTTGCTTACCTGATCACATGCCCTCCAAGACCCAAGGTGCTGTCTGAATGACAGAGCACTTCTTGTCTTTTGAGAGAGAGGAATCCACTCTGAGATCTGTTTACACTGAAAAGGTCTGACTGCTCTCCAAGGCCCTGCAGCTGAGACAATCCTGGCTGTCGGACAGTGAGGGATGGAGCTGACTCCAGGCTACAGCACTGAGGGTTCATTCCTCAGCAGTGCCTAAGCAGATAGCAGCAATTCTCTGAAGTGCTTTGGATTCCTGAGTTTCCTGCTCCTAAACACTCTGGCAAGAGGCACTCCATCCAGAGCACCTGCCCTTGCTTATAATGGGGCAGGAGCTGATCCCATGGTCTCTGATCAGAAAGAGCTCAGCTCCTCCAGTGACCCAGCTCTGCCAGCTTCCCCAGCTTCCCAGTCCTTACCACAGCAGCCCTTGAAATGCTGAGGCATTCACCTCCACGATCCTCCTTATTGATACAACATAACCTTCTTCCCATTCCGGAAATCAGGAAGAATATATTCCTCCAATTTCCAATCAAGACAATTATTCTGCAGACATGCTGCAGTGTTTTCTTTCTTTTTTGAAGCCCATGCCCTGGGTCCACTCTAATGAATTGTTCATTTAGAATTCCGAATGTACTTTCCTGTCCCCCTGCCATATATCACAAAGAATAACTGACATTTCAGTCACTTGGAGTGTGGATTGTATTGAGGTCCGTATATTGACTAATACTGCAGGGCTGAGACCTCTGTCCACAGTTGTCGCTGCTGACGTGGCAGATACATTCCCCAGCCTGCAGTGGTGACTCTCTCCCCAACTGTTCTTGGAAAATAGCATTCTTGGGACATTGAGGTACCCTTCATCCTTCCAGTGGCAGCTGACAGCCGCCCTCCAAAGCTGACTCATGAGCTACATCTTCGAGTATGTGAGCTGCAGTGGTCCCCACCCATGAGCAGCTGCTTCAGTTGCATCAGCTGGTGATGTCTGGGCCATGCAAGAGGCTAAGCAGCCAGTCTAAGGAGTACGGGGATCATGACTTCCTGCCAGCCAGAGCCCCCAGGCTCTCTATCCATTCACAAATGCTTCCTTATCTATTTCATCTTTCTCCCTAAGTTCATGGGAACTTGGACCACTTGCTGCCATGAGGTTGTGGTTGGCCTGGACACCTTTCTGAGCTGATCATCATTTAATTAGAGGACATTTCCCAAAGCACAGGAAGCAGTCACTCTCTACCTTCTTTCAATTTATCTTACCATAGAAAGGCTGTAGAATGGCTAAGACACTACCACAGACATGGTGTGACCAATGGAAACGTGGATAACATTTTGGACTGATCTGGAACTATAGGATTTGGTTTCTGTTTCTATACCAACTCTGACTGGGTTGGTATAGGGAAAACCAGGTGAGCATTGGCAGGAGAAAAATCAGATATACTTTCCATTCTCATTTCCATTTCTAGCAGTGAGGATCCAGATGAGAAACAGAGCTGGGTTCTCACGTCTGAGGAGTGAACGCAGCTAAAAAGCACCACCCTTGATTACCATCTACTAGTTCTCAGGACTTGCTCTTAGATTGCATGGTCTATCATTTTCATTGTTTTAACAATCATTGTGTCTACTCCATCCTTGCCATTCTGTATTTGTCAAGAAGGTACTATTTCTGAAGATTGTATTAAAAAGAAGCAACTGTTCCCTCTCCACCCAAGCTATGCTATGCTTCTGTTTGTTTGCTTGCTTGTTTATAAATGTGGTGCAGCCACCCAAACCTATCCTAACCAGACATGCGGCAGACTCACCTGAGAAGCATTTGAGCCCTCAGCAGGTGATCCCTCTGAGACCACCCTTGGAGGTCACTTTCACCATTTCTGACAAACACTAGGTATTTTCAGGAATGAAGAGCAGGTGTTGGCAGGGGAGATTATATGAGTGAATCTTCCTCAGTTTAAGGACTAGTCTAACAGACTCAGATGAAAAACATTGAGACAGTGATCTCCCAACTCCAGTGGAGAGAAGTTCAAAACTAGCTGATCCAAACTCACAACCACTCCTTCTCCTTCAAAGATTTCTGATCAACCCAAGGGCCTGACCGAGAAAGATGAGCTGTTTCTCTCCTCACAGGGAAAAACCAATAATAAATGATCCTGGTTTGCAGAGAGATGCACAACTTGAATTATTGGAGATTTTATCTATGGCTAAGAGCAATTCCATTTTGCAATTTAAAGTTCCTTTTGCCTTTAGAATAGGTGAGCCCCAGGATGATGAGGTTATGTTACAACTCGGAAAGGGATATTGATATCTTCAAACCAGTTATATATCCTGTCTGAAGAACATCAAGGAAATAAATCACATAGGTCGGGGAAAAAATGGCAATTAGCCTTTTAAAGGTATCACATGGGTCAGTCTATACTAACTTCTCATGAAAAATGGCTTAAATATAACTTATAAATTGTACCTCTGCTCTAATAAAAAGCTTAAGTGAAAAACATCATGATAAATTTCTTCTCCTTAAACTGTTTATCAAAGGATTATCTGAACTTTTAAAAATCATACCATGTTATTATGAATAAATGCCTCACAAACGAATGACACAATTATTGACTTACAGATTTTTCTCCAAGAAGATGATTAGCTATGATTTAAAGCAACATGTTATCTACTGCTATATTTGAATGTTGCATATTAACTGAACATTTTATTACTTTACAAATTGAATTTATCAGGAGAAATGTGAGACTAAACATGACCAAACCACCTTTGCTGGACCTGAATATGAAAAGCTAATAATGATTTCTAGCAAGAAATGTATCTGAAGAAAAGCAAAATTACCAGTAATTGATCTACCTAATGCAGAAAAAAGGCAAGAGTATTTCAAACAATTGCTTCTTTTTCCTGTCTTTTTTTTAAATGATGTAGAGCAATTGCTCGTTTAATGAAGGGATTCGGTAAATAAATTACACATTACTTTCACTGATTACTCTAGAATAGGAAAATTTCCATCCCAGCCATTGATCTTCAGAAATGAGACAAACCTTTTTCTTCCATTAGGCCCCACAATCTTAATATTTACTGGTAAAATAAATGTTGTGGGAGTGAATTACAGGTGCAGTCAAAACATTGAATTATCATCAATCGCCATTTTTCTTCATATACACAGACACACACATTGATCTCATATTTGGACATTTCTCACTGATCACTAGGTAAGGCAGAGCAAGCACTTATACCACCAATTTTACAAAATGCCTATTGAATTTCTGCAGTATTTTTGTTCACATGCTCTAGTAAAACTATGAGGGGGCTGATAAACACCAAGGTGATCACAAACTTTCTCGGTCCTGAAATCACCACAAATGTTCAGCTCTATGAGAGGCTGAAGATAGAAAACAAAGACTTACATTAGCAAGAATCAACTTCAGTGGTCTTTTAAAAGATACTTACAGTAGATTATTGTGAGGATCCCACTCTGTCTATGCTCTGAATGGTGGTTTGGGTAACTTTGGGCGCTGACTTCCTGCCTTCTCTTTGCTGTGCGAGGGTAAAGGAGCTGTGGTAATACCCTGCCTAGTAACCAAGACATGGCCTTCATGCAGACTTTATATATTGGCTTCCATGAAGGTTTAAAGGTTAAAGGCTTCATAAATTATGCATTTCCCTTTATGCCAGGCCTGTATAAAGTGCTTTCACTGTTCAATAAGGAGATTGCTTCCAAATGGGCACAGGCTTTTTAAGTATCAAAAAAGAAACATTTCCATTATGTTTATTACTGCTATGCTGGAGGGCCAAAACAACTCGGAATCAGAAAACTGCTTATCTGTTGTTCTAGAACGTGTAGCATACACAGTGAAATGACCACTCACAGAAGGAGAGTCCAACAGGCTGGTATCCCACCAACAGAGCAAGTCTTGGGACCCGCATACCACCAGCAACAGTTGGGACCCTTCTGCTTCTGCTCCAATTTACAGATGCAAACAGGGAGGAGGGAGACCCAATGTCCACTGCAATATCCCCAGCTCCTGCCTTTGAGCCAGCTCTACCATGGGATGCTCAGGTTAACTGCACATTTATATGTGTCCTTCCTAGTCAGCACCCTGACTTAGGTTTTGCTACCTCTGGCTCAAGTACAGTGCTAAGGTACTCTTTTGTCTTTTACACGCACCTGTCCTGCAGCTGCCCAAGGCTGGGCTCCTTTTCTCGTGGCGACCACACCCATGCATCCCATAGGCGGCAGTAGCAAACTGCTGAGTGGGCTTCATGTCCCTCTCACGAACCTTAGGCCAAAGGGGCCAAAACTGGACACACACGACCCAACTTCAGCCAGGCCACGGCCACCTCTACCTCTGTGCCTGTCTGGCTGTGGTGGAGCATCCTAGAGCCGCACTGAGGGCTGTGAGGTCCCGACTTCCCCAGGCTCTTCCCGGGGCCCTCCTGCACACCCTGCAACTAAGTGGCGAAGTTGCTTCTCGCTCCCCTGCCGCAGCGCCCTTCCTCGCCGCCTCTCCACCAACACACACACACACACACACACTAGCCCACTCTCACGCAGCCTGGCTCCCTCAACTCACCAGTTTAGACTTGGCTCGTTGCAAAAATTCTTCCATGGCGTTGCGAGGGGTTTGGACCAACGCTACCCGGAGGCGCGCAGAGGAAGATCTTGGCCCTGGGGAAGAGGAGCGGCGTCGCAGAAAAGTGGCCCGGCTGGGCACAGCGATCGGCTGCACCCTTCTGCCGCTAGGAAGCGGCTGAGGCTGTGGCTGCGCTGTCGGCCACCGGGTCCCAGGGCGCCCCGCCCCACCCCCGTGCCCGGCCTGGTCGCTGACTGTGCCCTAATAAGGAAAGTGGGTGTGCCGCCCGGGAGCCCCAGGGCGCGCCCCGCACGCTGGCTGGCACGCGCCTCGGGGGCCGGGCGGGGCGTGGGGGTGTAGTGGGGGTGGCGAGGGGCTCCTCGGCCAATCGCAGGGCCCCGCTGCGGCCTCCTGACGTGGCGCGCCGAAAGATGCTGCAACCATGGACAGCGCCCAGAAGTGCGAGCCAAGCGCAAGGGGCTACTGCAGACAGAGGCTCTGCCGCAGGCCCCTGCGCTGTGTCTGTGAGCCGAAGGTGGGAAGCGGGCAACGAGCTCAGGAGGGCCCCCCTCCTCGTCCAGCGCCTCCCTGGCTGGCTGGCAAGGTACTGAGCGCTCCAGCGGGCACTTAATGAGCTGCTCTGCTTTGGCCTGGCTAGGGGATGTACTCAGCTAAGTTGGCGCAGGGAGGGGCGGGGGAGGTACCTCAGAGCTAAAAGCAGTGCGACCTTGATGGATAACAGAAGAGCAGGCGGAAAGGCTGTGACAGGCTGCCTCTTTCCTCCCTACCCTTCAAACTGACCCATCCTGCACCGGGCATCTGCAGTTTGCTCCAATAAGGTTGGTCCTGGGGCCAAGGCAAAGAAGAAATCTCCGAGAGTTCCCATCCACTTTCTGACATGTGTGCTAAAGGCAAGCTGGGACAGTGGAGCCTTGCTACTCAAAGTGTGGTCCCTAGACCGGCAACAACCGCCAGCTTATTAGAACTGCATTTTCAGACTCACAACCCCAACCTACTCAGTAAGAGTCTGTTCCTGCAAGACCCGAAGAGGATATCTATGCATGTTAAAGTTTAAGAAATACTGCAGGTTCAATAGGTTAATCCTCCACCTGCGGCGCCAGCACACCGGGTTCTAGTCCCGGTCGGGGTGCCGGATTCTGTCCCGGTTGCCCCTCTTCCAGGCCAGCTCTCTGCTGTGGCCCCGGAGTGCAGTGGAGGATGGCCCAAGTCCTTGGGCCCTGCACCCACATGGGAGACCAGGAGAAGCTCCTGGCTCCTGGCTTCGGATCAGCGCAATGTGCTGGCCACAGCGCGCCGGCCGCGGCGGCCATTGGAGGGTGAACCAACAGCAAAAGGAAGATCTTTCTCTCTGTCTCTCTCTCTCTCACTGTCCACTCTGCCTGTCAAAAAAAAAAAAAAAAAAGAAGAAGAAGAAGAAGAAGAAGAAGAAGAAGAAGAAGAAGAAGAAGAAGAAATACTGCAAAAAACACTCATGCTTAGCTATGTTCCTAGTTTTGCTGTGTGGATTCACTAGCCTTATAGCTCCCCAGACTTACTCTAACTCTCCCTTCCTCTCTCTGTACATGTATTTGCGCCTCATGATTCAATTACTTTTTACTTTGAAGGATGCAATAAAAAGAAATCAGCAGAGTGGATAGATCTGATTAAAGAAGAGTGTTGGGAATATTAAGCTCCAGGTTACACTCAGGTGATGAGCTATGTGGAAACTGCAGATTTTATCGGCTTTCTTTGCTGACTTAAGTAATTTAAAACCATCCAGGTAAGACAAGTGTTTTGTCAGCCTTTAAATTTGTGAAGTTACACCCAATTCAAGTAACATTACTGAGAAAAAAACCTAAGAATTTCTTGCCTCTGACTTCATTGAGTAATTTATTAACAGTCACATAACATTGTTTTTATTCCTCTGAATTTTATTATAAACATTTTGGGAAGGTATTACACAACCTTGACGTTTTCTGATGCACTCAAATTTCAATATCTTTCTCCCTTACTTGTTCTCTTTCAATAATGTCCTTTCAAAAGTTTACCAAACCTTACTTCCTTCATGAAGCCTTCCCAAACTGACCACATATGTTAGTTTTCCAAGATTGTCTTAGTGAATTCCCGTAAAATCTGTGACCTAAAAATGTACAGATTTATTACCTTAAAATTCTGTAGGTCAGAAGTTCAATACAGTTCTCACTGGGATAAAAAAAGGCATAAATGGGGCTGGATACCTTTCTGGGAACTTTTGGAGAGAATCCACTCTGCTTCCCCAGCCTTTAGAAACTACCCCATATTGCTTGACTCTAGGCACCTCCCTCCATCTTCACAATCAAAAACATCCCATTTTTCTGACTTTGCTTCAAACCTTCATCTTGTACTTTTTAAGGGCCTTGTGTTTATATTGGTCCATCTCGGAAAACCTAGATAATCTCCCTATTCTGTGGACCACTGATTATCAACCATAACTTCATTTGCAACCTTGAAATCTGTTTGCCATATAACCTGCCAGATTCATAATTGCTGAGGATTAGGTTGTAGACCTCTTTGGGAGGCCATCGTTCTACATACTGCACAGTTCCTACCCCAAATTGCTTTGTGGCTATTCACATTTTTTATAAAGATTTTATTTTATTTATTTTAAAGTCAGAGTTCCAGAGAGAGAGAAGAGGCAGAGAGAGAGGTCTTCTATCTGCTGGTTCACTCCCCAATTGACCTCAATTCCCGGAGCTGTACCGATCCAAAGCCTGGGGCCAGGAGCTTCCTCCAGGTCTCCCACGCGGGTGCAGGGGCCTAAGGGCTTGGGCCATCTTCTACTGCCCTTCCAGGCCACAGCAGAGAGCTGGATGGGAAGTGGAGCAGCCGGGAACAGAACCGGCGCCCATATGGGATGCCAGCACTTCAGGCCAGGGCATTAACTTGCTGCACCACAGCGGCAGCCCGCGGATATTAGCATTTGATCTGTGGTTTTTGATAATTCCTTAGCATCCAGAAATCTAGTACCTTTAACTCTAGATAATACACTGTTAACCCTTACTGCCCAGTGGGATCATCTAGGAGGCTCTGAAAAATACTTGCACTCTAAGCTCTATCCCCAAAAATTCCAAATGGAGTGGTCTTGAGAGAGACTCATCAATATTTTTAAAGAGCTCTTCAGATAATTTTCTGGGTAGTCATAATTGGAAACCACTGTTGATGTTAGATAAATTTGTATTCTCCGTAATTTGAGTATTCAATCTGGAATGCCCTTTGAATCATGAATTTCTCCTATCCCTTGTGGCTACATATTTCCCAGCCCAATGTCTTCAACTTTTGAAAAGGTCTCCACCATTCCAGGCACTACCACTATAATTCAAGTATTTATGTCTGAACCCAGCATTCCCTCCAGAGAATGAATTTGAACCCTAAAGTCCTTGGCACTTGTCTACAAAACAATCCATTCTTTTTTTTTATTCTCAGGTTTCTTTATTATTGGACTCCCCTCATTTGAAACCTATGTCTGAACTCTTTGTTTGGCAATTAATGATCTTGAATATATTAGCAGAATGGTTGTTATAGACTGAATGTTTTTACCCCTCAAAATTCGTATGCTGAAATGTAACTCCCAATGTGATGATACTAGGAAATGGACCCTTTGGGAGTAATTAAGTTTAGAATAGGTCATGAACATAAAACCCCTATGGTGGGAAGATGAAGAGAGAGATTGGATCTCTCTGTGTGTGTGTGTGTGTGTGTGTGTGTGTGTATATATCCTTCTCCTTTTCACCATCTGCAGACACAGCAAGAAAATAACTATTGCAAGCCAAGATCATCACCAACAAGCAAATCCATCATCACCTTGGTCTTAGACATCCTATCCTCTAGAACTGTTAGAAATAAATGTTTGCAGCCAGCACCGAAGCTCAATAGGCTAATCCTCCACCTGCGGCACCGGCTCTCTGGGTTCTAGTCCCGGTCGGGGCACCGGATCCTGTCTCAGTTGCTCCTCTTCCAGTCCAGCTCTCTGCTGTGGCCCGGGAGTGCAGTGGAGGATGGCCCAAGTGCTTGCGTCCTGCACTGCATGGGAGACCAGGAGAAGCACCTGGCTCCTGGCTTCGGATCAGCGCGGTGCGCCGTCCAAAACGCGCCAGCTGCAGCGGCCATTGGAGGGTGAACCAACAGAAAAGGAAGACCTTTCTCTCTGTCTATCTCTCTCTCTCACTGTCCACTCTGACTGTCAAAAAAAAAAAAAAAAGAAAGAAAGGAAAAAAAAGAGAAATAAATGTTTGCTGTTTAAGCCACTCAGACTACAATGTTTTGTGATAGCATTCTGAAAGGTTCACATAATAGCAGTGCTAGAAAAAAAGAGAATTTAGGGTTCATGTGATCCCATCCACCTGTTTTAGGAGAGAGTGCCAAGGCCCAGAGTAGTTCAGTATCCTGCTCAGACCTTCTTAGAAACAAAGCCGGTATTGGAACTTAGCTCTTTTTCCTTCCTTCCTTAAGCATTTATGAAGTATCAGCATTATGCCTACCCTGGAATGCATAAAGCATTACCCCTGACCACAAGGAGCTACAATACAATGAGATAAATGCATTGAATGAGAAATGCATCTAGTATATGTTAGTTGAGATGCAATATAACATGATAACTAAACTCCATGTTCTCATCTTTACTATGATTGGCATATTAAATATGGCTACCAATTCTTCGACACTCCTTCCAATAAGAGGCGGGTTTGTGTTCCTTTTCCTTGAATCTAGGAGAGCTCTATTACTTCCTGAACAATAACATATAGCAGAAATGATATCAGTCTCTGGGATCCAGTCTTTTTTTTAACTTTTATTTAATGAATATAAATTTCCAAAGTACAGCTTATGGATTACAATGGCTTCCCCCCCATAAGGGATCCAGTCTTAAGTGTTTGGCAGCTTCCACTTGTTGCCTTTTGGAATACACTCTCTTGAACCCTAGCAATCATATCACGAAGAAGCCCCAGAAGCCATACAGAGAGGCCTACATGGAAGGGAACTATGGACCATTCTACCATCCTGGCTGCTGGTCACCAGTCACATGGATGAATCATATTAGAAATACATTCTCTAAAGGCTCCAACATGGGAAGTAGTCCATACAGCAGACTCATAGAAGGACAATTGCTTTAGGTGGCATTCCAACCTCAGAATCAGCCCTTAAGGCATTCCAGTCAGGCTGGAAAGCACAAGAAGAACATATGAGGCATGGAAAGTCAAGACACTGTGGCAAAAGATGTCCTACACAAAGGACCCCTTTGAGCAAGAACCTAGATGAAAGAA